AAAAGTTTTAGGTCTTGAAAACGCTCGCATTATTGCCGTTAATATTAATGTTTCAATGATTGCAATCCAACCGAAGTTAAACATTATTATCGAGAAATGAATTGCTAAACAAAAACATAAATACATTTTTTTATAGAACATAGAACCGGCACAATTGGCTATAATTAGATTTGTCGGTATATTTGTGTTAACTATTCCAGTGGTTGTCTGGTATGGCGTAAACCCTTTCGGTCCAAAAGAGGTTCGCCATATACTAGTACTGCGGGCTATAACGGGCACGACTGCACTCTTCCTCCGGTTCTATGCCTTCCGATACCTAACCCTCGCCGACGCCTCTGTTATTATATTTTCAGTGCCAATATTTGTCTCAATATTTGCATTTATTTTCCTAAATGTAATTATAAATTATATTATTGTTTAATAATTATTTTTTTATGCAACTAATTATGAATGTAATTAACCAGAGATTGTGAAAACTTATTAAACAGTAGAACTAAATTAACATTAATATAAATTGTGTGTCCATCAGGAGCCGTGTGGTATACTTCAGACAGTGATAGTTGTGCTGACATTAGTTGGTCTCTCACTCACCACAAGACTTGTATTGATTTTTGTGCCAAAGAGTGAACCGATTTCAGTACTAAACTCAACACAAATACCAATGAATTCAACCCATAATTACCACAAATTTAGCGCTGAAATTGAGTCAAATAATTATTTGTATGGCATTATCGCCGCCCTGTCCTCAACCATATTCACGGCAGCGGTTTTTATATTTATTCGCAAATTAAAGGGTAATTGAATTGCAAAACAAAATTATAGTTTCTTTTAAGAAGATGTAGTCTTAATAATGTATTTATGTTTTTGTTTAGCAATTCATTTCTCGATAATAATGTTTAACTTCGGTTGGATTGCAATCATTGAAACATTAATATTAACGGCAATAATGCGAGCGTTTTCAAGACCTAAAACTTTTATTGAATATATATTATGCCTATTTATGGCCGTTATATCATTTGTTGGCCAAACACTGCTCACACTATCACTTCAGGCGGAAAAGGCGGGTCCGGTATCAGTGGTGAGAGCGGCCACCGATATATTGCTGTCATTTGTTTGGGAAATCGCTTTGTTTAATGAAATTCCGGACATTTGGTCAATAAGTGGTGCTATTGTTGTCTCCTTTTGTATTGTGTTAACGGGTTATCAGAAATGGCATCAAAGCCTAAACAACACCAAAACTAATAATATTAATAACATTGATGAAAATAATATTAAATGATATTTGCTTTGCTTTGGACTATTAAGGAATTTATGTAATTTAATCTAAACTGAATTATTTTTAAAATTAGTAATAAAATCAATAATAATTTTTATGTTTTTAGTTTATTTGTACAAATGAACTAATAATAATATTTTTAATACACCCAATGTACTCAATAATTGAATGAACTTACATTAAAAATCAACCTTTAATTAATTTTTTACCTCTTTTATCAAAAATATAATCTATGCTTTTAATCGAATTGTTTGGGAAAACACTTAAAATAAAATATTTAGATATTTTCTGTATAACTATATATAGTTTTATCCAATTTATAAATTTGTTGAAAATGCAAACATTTGTCTCAAAAGCATTGAACTTATATTAACGTGAAATCAATGTTAAGTCAACCAAACATACGGTACGGATCTATAGAGAGACAGAAAGCGAACAATAAATTCACGTCAAGTGATGAGAGAGTGAATGAAAATAATGACAAGAATTATGTGAAAAGCAATGGTTTGAAAGTTAGCGACGGTTTGAGTAAAGATATTAAACTAATAAAATATTTTATGAATTAGTTTATTAGTAAAAATTAATTAAAAATAATATTTTCAATACTTCACAATATTTATTATTAAAATTAATAAAAACGTCTTTTCTTTAGATAAAATATCAATTTTCATATTAATATGATATTAATAATATCACTATAACTATTACCATGATCATCTTATATTCTGTAGGTCTTATATTCTCAAGTTTCTTAATTATAAAATTAGTATATCGTTTAATATTACCAATACATATGTATAAATTTGCAAAACGATAAAATAAAAATAACATAGAGATAAAGATGCAAATTCATTAAACTATTGCAAATTTAATATGAAATTATAGAACATGTTCAATTTTCAATTATAAAGTAAGAGAGAATATGTCCGATATTTTCTGTGCTTATTTTTATTATAATTCTTTGCTTAACTCAATTGTATTCAAATTTTTGTTTAATATAAAAGGAGAGGAATAATGTCTATCAAAATAGACACAAACTATAACAAGAAGAATATCCCGCATATCATCATAAGAGGTGATCCATACACTCGTGGACTCAGTTATGGACAACAAATGAAGAAGAAGATTGTGAAGAATCTGCACTTTTATAAAGACCGATACCAACTGCTCGACTGGACACAAGTCGAGCAGTTTATGAATAAAAACTATGTAAAAGCTCTGAAGAAATACTTCCCGTCGGGTCTCCAAGAGATGAGAGGTATAGCCGCCGGCGCTGACGTCTCGCTCGAAGACATCATAGCATTGAACGCCAGGTATGAGTTGATGCGCTGGAATCGGGAGCTCATCAAAAAGAGCAACCAATCCATGAATGGTGTGCCCACACAAAAACAAGTAATTTTGCCTCAATTGCCTCACGAGTGCACTTCAGGCGTATGTCTATCAAAGGCCACACAATCGGGTGATGTCCTGATGGGACAGAATTGGGATCAAAACAAGCGTATGTTAGCCGACGATATGATACTTGTGCTGGAAGTACATCCCGACCCCTCCGAGAATAAAGTGCCCCTCATTATGCTTACAGAAGTGGGACAGTTAGGTCGTAGTGGCATAAATGCTAATGGACTTGGTAAATATTAATTTATTTTAATATTGGAAATTAGATTGTAATAAATTCATTTATAAAATAGACATACCCAGGTGCCATTTTTATTTATTATCTTATAAATAAATTGTATTTGTTCAATGACAATATTAATTATTTATAACAAATAAAATAATTGTAATTTGTATCCATTTGTAGGCATAACTGGTATGAGTTTGTTCTCTAGCGATGATTTGTTTGGCGAAGACAGCGGATCCGGTTATATACCAATGGGTCTCTTCAGGCGTATGTTTCTGGAGGCGCCCAACTTTCCGGTGGGGCTCAAGAGTCTGATCGACGCTCCCAGACATGTGTCCATTAATATGACTGTGGCGTCGGCTGAGGGCGAGGCCTTCAACATAGAGATGACACCCAAACACTACTTCGTCTCTTACCCGCCCTTTGATACCGATATCATAACGCATTGCAATCTCTTTAAATCCGATGCATTCTTTGCCAACGGATCCGTTAGAGACACTTATATCTGCGGCTCGTCTCTCATCCGCGACCAACAAATGCAAAGAGAGTTACGAAACAAATGGGGAACTATTGATGAGAAAAGTTTTACCGATTGTTTTAAAAATCATTTGTGTTTTCCGGACTCTCTGTGCGCTCACATACCAGAGAAGGGAAGGGAATACCTGTCGACAAATCCCAATCTCTGTACTATCGCTAATATTGTAATGAATTTAACGACTAAACGGCTCCGGGTTTGTAGGGCTAACCCATGCACTGGTGTGTTTCAAGAATATAGTTTTGATTAAAATTTTTAATTTTAAAAAATTAATTTAATGTTTAACTCTTTACTAGTAGTTATATAAATCTTGACATTTTTCATAATTACTTTATATTATAGATCTATGATATACTTACACTAAATTTCGTTTAAAAATCAACATTTTATAGAATATTTGCTAGAATTGTAGAATAATAAATTTTGTGATTTATAAATAAATCCATTTATAAAGTTTACATAATGGCTAAATGTATAGAACCAGTTTTTAAAATAATGTAATTACAATTTCTTATTATGAATGTAATGAATTGAAGTGCAATTATAGAAGTATTAAATCCGTTGTCAAATAAAGTTAAGTTTGGAAATTTAAAAATACTTTTAATTGTTCCAGGGCAGTTTGCCTTGAAATAGTAGCATACGTACTAAACTATAAACTTGAATAATAATTAATGGTATAAAAGTGATTGTTTTAAAGTCAATTTAGTCAACAATTATACTTCAGTAATAGTAAAAGATATTCCCTAAATAAAAACAAATAAATACAATGTCTGCCAATTTGGACACAAATAACAATCAGGAGACTATCCAACACATCATCATAAGAGGTGATCCATACACTCGTGGACACAGTTATGGACAACAGTTGAAGGAGAAGATTGTGAAGAATATAAACTATTATAAAGAACTCTACCATCTTCTCGATTGGAGACAAGTCGAGCAGTTTATGAATAAAAATTATGTAAAAGCTCTGAACAAATATTTCCCGTCGGGTCTCCAAGAGATGAGAGGTATAGCGACCGGCGCTGACGTCTCACTCGAGGACATAATACTTTTAAACGCAAGATATGAGTTAATGAAGTGGAACCGACAGCTCATTAAGAAAAACAGAGAGCAGTTGACAAATGTCCCAAAGGATAAACAGATAGATTTGCCTCCAGCGCCACACGAGTGCACTTCAGCCGTATGTCTATCAAAGGCCACCCAAACGGGTGATGTCCTTATGGGACAGAATTGGGATCAACACAAGCGTATGTTAGCCGACGATATGCTGCTTCTGTTGGAAGTATATCCCGATTCTTCCGAGAATAAGGTGCCGCTCATTATGCTTACAGAAGTGGGACAATTAGGCCGCAGCGGTATGAATGCTAATGGACTTGGTAATAATTTATTAGATTAATATATGAAATATACAATAATTGTCATTACATTTGTAGGCATCACTGGAATGAGTATTTTCTCCAGCGATGATGTGTTTGGCAAAGACAGCGGATCCGGTTATATACCTATTAGTCTATTAAGACGTATGTTTCTGGAGGCGCCCACATTCCCGGTGGCGATACGGCGACTACTGATCGCTCCCAGACATGTGTCCGTCAATATGACTGTGGCATCGGCTGAGGGCGAGGCCTTCAACATAGAGATGACACCCAAACACTACTTCGTCTCTTACCCTCCCTTTGATACCGGTATCATAACTCACAGCAATCTTTTCAAATCCGATGCATTCTTTGCCAACGGATCCGTCAAAGACACGTATAACTGCAGCTCATCGCTGATCCGCGACCGACAGATGCAAAGAGAGTTACTCAAGAGATTGGGAACTATTGATGAGAAGAGTTTTACCGATTGTTTTAAAAATCATTTGTGTTTTCCGGACTCACTGTGCGCTCACATACCAGAGAAGGGAAGGGAAGACATGTCAACGACACCCAATTTCTGCACTATCGCTAATATTGTCATGAATTTGACGACTAAACGACTCCGTGTTTGTAGGGCTAATCCATGCAATGGTGTGTTTCAAGAATATAGTTTTGATTAAAACTATCAATTTTGCAAAAATGATTTTATTCTTCATAATATTTGTGTTAAAGTTAATTAATTTAATGTTTAACTCTTTAATAGTTGTTATATAAATCTTGACATTTATCATAATCATATTATAGATCTATGCTATAATTACCTTAAAATTAGTTTAAAAATAAACATTTTATAATGTATTAATAAACATTGTAGAATGGATTGATAATTATATCCATTTATACATAATTGAAAAATGCAGTCTTTGTAATGTAATTGCAATTTATTATTATGAATATAATGAAGTAAATTGTAAATATTAATTACAAATTCAAATGAATTGCTTTGACAATACAATTGAGTAAACCAATAATTTTGCATTTAATCGCAGTTTAATTTTCTAATAAATTTACTTTAATTACAATAGTATGCAATACAATAAAAGTGCAGTGCGTTTAATAGTATAGCAGTGCATACAAACATGTAAAGTATTGCACAATCCTATAACAGAATTGTGTATAAATACCAAGTAAATCCATTAACAGATAAAGTTAAGTTTGTAAACTTAAAAATACTTTTAATTGTACTACTCATTGTCCCTGGGCAATTTGCCTTGAAATAGTAGCGTAGATACTATACAATAAACTTGATATTTTTAATGGTATAAAACTGATTGTTTTAAAGTCAATTTAGTCAACAATTATATTTTAGTGATAGTAAAAGTTATTTTTTTTCAATAAAAAGAAATATAATGTCTTTCAATTTGGACACAAATAACAACGAGAAGACAATCCCGCATATCATCATAAGAGGTGATCCATACACTCGTGGACTCAGTTATGGACAACAGTTGAAGGAGAAGATCGTGAAGAATATAATCTATTATAAAGAACTCTACCATCTTCTCGATTGGACACAAGTGGAAGAGTTTATGAATAAAAACTATGTAAAAGCTCTGAACAAATACTTCCCGTCGGGTCTCCAAGAGATGAGAGGTATAGCAACCGGCGCTGACGTCTCACTCGAGGATATCATAGCATTGAACGCCAGGTATGAGTTAATGAAGTGGAATCGACAGCTCATTAAGAAAAACAGAGAGCAGTTGACAAATGTTTCAAAGGATAAACTGATAGATTTGCCTCCAGCGCCACACGAGTGCACTTCAGCCGTATGTCTATCAAAGGCCACACAATCGGGTGATGTCCTTATGGGACAGAATTGGGATCAAAACAAGCGTATGTTAGCCGACGATATGCTGCTTCTGCTGGAAGTATATCCCGATTCTTCCGAGAATAAGGTGCCGCTCATTATGCTTACAGAAGTGGGACAATTGGGCCGCAGCGGTATGAATGCTAATGGACTTGGTAATTATTAGTTATTAGATTAATATTTATATATGAAATATACAATAATTGTCATTACAAATTTTTTTTTGTATCCATTTGTAGGCATCACTGGAATGAGTATTTTCTCCAGCGATGATGTGTTTGGCGAAGACAGCGGATCCGGTTATATACCAATTAGTCTATTTAGACGTATGTTTCTGGAGGCGCCCACATTCCCGGTGGCAATCCTGCGACTATTGGTCGCCCCCAGACATGTGTCCGTCAATATGACTGTGGCGTCGGCTGAGGGCGAGGCCTTCAACATAGAGATGACACCCAAACACTACTTCGTCTCTTACCCTCCCTTCGATACCGATATCATAACTCATAGCAATCTTTTCAAATCCGTTGCATTCTTTGCCAACGGATCCGTCAAAGACACGTATAACTGCAGCTCATCGCTAATCCGCGACCGACAGATGCAAAGAGAATTACTCAAGAGATTGGGAACTATTGATGAGAAGAGTTTTACCGATTGTTTTAAAAATCATTTGGGATTTCCGGACTCACTGTGCGCTCACATACCAGAGAAGGGGAGGGAAGACATGTCGACGGCACCCAATCTCTGTACTATTGCTAATATTGTTATGAATTTAACGACTAAACGGCTCCGGGTTTGTAGGGCTAACCCATGCAATGGTGTGTTTCAAGAATTTAGCCTCAAATAAACCAATTATTTTAAATAATTTTTTTAATTATAAATCTATTGCTTTCTAAATCTACCAATTATATTCTAAATAAGCAATGGTGAAATAAGAAATAATATGACATGGTTATTGAATCACCAAGACGTTTTTTAAATATAGTTTTTATATTAGCATACATTACAGTATATGTATTGGATTAAATGAAAACCTCGTTCCTTGACGGTGAAGGAGTGTAGCTATAATTCTGAAATTAGTTTCATAATTTAAGTTGACATTCTTAGGCACAAGAATCTAAGTTTCATCAAGATCGGATCAATAGTTTATGAACAGGATTTTTTCAAAGTTTGTCAGTCGTTTTAATGTATTCCTATGGGAGGGGGTCTGTTTTTGTATTGACCGATGGTTGAAATCACAGTTAAATTTATCTTGGTTGAATACTAATAGAGTTAATTCAAAGCCCTTCCTCTTCTGAGACCTTTGTTATTCAATGTATATAACAGTATACTATTCATTGACCAATATTGACCGCTACCCCAACTGTGGCCACACAAAAATCGGTGATTAACCCGATTGGCGGCCTGTGTTCGGTCGGTTCGCAATTGATTCCCGCTATACTTAAAGTTATGATATCTGCACTAAACTATTGTCTGATAACTAATAGTGAATACCAATAACCAAATAATCACTTTAAACACATCTTTGGTAAAAATATTTTTACTTTAAAAATGAAATAATTTTTAATAAAATATTTTGTGGCAAATTTTTTAAAATTATTCCGACTGACAAACTTTGAAAAAATCCTGTTCATAAACTATTGATCCGATCTTGATGAAACTTGGATTCTGGTGCCTAAGAATGTCGACTTAAATTATGAAACTAATTTCAGAATTATAGCTACACTCCTTCACCGTCAAGGAACGAGGTTTCCATTTAATCCAATATATTTGAATAATATGACAATTGTTAAAATTGCAACACAAGGGTTAGATGTTTGGATCAGTGAGGCGTAAATTTTGGCCAAACATATTATTATATACAAAGTATTTTCAAAATTAATTTCTTTGTTCTTATTTTAAATGTTATTTTAATTTGACAAATAAAATAATTTGTTTGTGTAAAGACCCAGCATCATTAAATATTAATTAAAATAATTTATATATTTGCATTCAAAGCAAATATTGTAAAAAATACCTATTAATGCAATCATTAAATCTATTATTAATTGAATAACTATTGAAAAACAGTTAATTTATAAAAATACTAAACTTCATAAGAATTTTACGTATAATTGACACTTAAAAATGAACTAAAATCTAGCATGATGATTACAAGCTAGGAAAATCAATTGAAAATAAATTTTTTTGTTGTAATTTCATATTAAATTTGCATTAGTTTAATGAATTTGCATTTTTACCTTTATATTATTTTTATTTTATAATTTTGCAAAATGAGATTAAAATGCAAATTTATTACACTATTGTTTTAATATGAAATTACAAAAAAATTAAATTTATTTTCGATGAATTTTTATCAATTATAAGGTAAGAAAGAGTTTGAATAATATTTACTGCACTTATTTTTAACATAATAATAGAATTACTTAAATATTAAACTAAATATATTTAAAATTCAATTCACTGAATTAAAGTATGCAAATAAATTTGTTGACCAAGAATGTACTTGATACTATTGTTGTCCTAATAATATAATGTTATATACCTTATTTGTAATGGTAATATAATTTACTTTTAACGATTAAATTTATTTGTTCAGAATATTTATAAATAATTTGCATTAAATACAGGTGTAAACCATAATATGTACACAATTTAATAGTGCTTAATGCAATAAAATCATTGATTGCACTTATTATTTATGGAAAACACAATGTTTTGCCTACAATTAGAGTATTATTAAAGAAATATTCTACAATAAACTATTAATATGCAAAGTATTTTTGTAATAAATGTAGATTTATTTTTTTTAAAACATTAGATTTATAAATGTGACAAAAATCAATAGCAAAATTATTTAAGACAATTTCTATGATATTTATTTGTAATATACAGTAATAAATTGTTTAATAAATTTATAAACAAATGTATACACAGAGAAAATTATCAATTGAATCAAATTATAAGGTATTTATTGTTTTTAATCAAAATTTAAAAATATCGGAAAATACTGAGGACACGGACGGGAAGAAGACTACCAGACCTTTGCTTAGCTGGCGATTACACAAAGGGATTATACTCTCAATCTTAAGTGCCGTGTGTTTTGCCTTCTCATCGGTTATTGTCAAGTACTTGAAGGTAAGTCATAAATACCCGGATTAAATATTTTAAGACTAAGACAAACAATGTCACAATTTACAGGACATTTCTCCCTCACAATTGGCTGTATTTAGATTTGTAGGTATATTTGTGTTAACCATTCCTCTGGTTATTAGAAATGGTGGCCATATATTTGGCCCGAAAGAAGTGCGGCATATATTGGTCTTAAGGTGCATATCGGGCGCCACCTCACTATTCCTCGAGTTCTATGCCTTCAGACTCTTACCACTCGTCGACGCGTCGATTATCACGTTTTCAATAGTAGTGTTTGTGTCTATGTTTGCCTGTGTTTTCCTTAAGGTAAATATGTTTTAACAACGATTCAAATAATGATTAATAAATTGAGTTTACATTCAGGAGTCGTGCGGTATATTCCAGACAATTATCGTAATGTTGACAATGTTTGGCGTCATTCTTACCACCAAATGTTTGGACACATTCTTTCAGCCGACAGCACATCCAATGTCACAGAATTCAACACATTTTATCAATTCAACAACAAATGGCCAGTTATTACATGCAATTCAAACATCAAATAACAATCACTTATACGGAGTGTTAGCGGCATTTGGCTGTACTTTCTTTGGTTCATTAGTTTTTATATTCATTCGGCAATTAAAAGGTATTTTATAAAAATATATGCAATTATGTGTATAATCTAGAACTATTTAATTGATTTTGATTTGAAATATCAATTAGACGTTCACTACTCGATAATAATGTTTAATTTCGGATGGATTTCAATAATCTTAACACTAATCATGACTGCAATAGTAAACGGATTTTCAATGCCTAAAACACTGTTTGAATGGGGATTAAGCCTATCGTTGGGTTTACTCTCATTTAGTGGTCAAGCGTTGATGACTTTGGCCCTACAGTCAGAACAGGCCGGACCCGTGGCTGTGGTCAGAGAGTCCACTGATATTATACTATCATTTGTATTTGACATCACGTTATTTCATATAATTCCCGACATTTGGTCAATCAGTGGCGCGACTGTTGTCTTCATTTGCATACTATTAACCAGTTTTCATAAATGGCTTCAAAGCAGAGATACTGAACCGAAAGCAAAATAATGAAATTTTAATGATTTTTACCATTTTGTTTTTAAATCTTCAACGGATTCTATCTATGAAATCAATTTAAAAATTTATTTATTAAAATTGGTGTAAATTTTGTAAAATTTTGAAATGAGTTGTAGTTGTGTTTGAATGAAAGGATGATTTCTAAAGCAGAGAGACTAAAACAAAAGCTAAATTATTAAATTAATAACAGAATTAATTTTATGTTCATTAAATAAGCATTTGTATCAAGGACAAAATATCATTATATAGTGCAATACAAAGCCTATTACGTATAAACCAAAATTTCTCACACCTGAGAGAGACTTTATGTATTAATCTATTCGTTCATCACATGAATTGTTTTAAAATGCTATTCAATTATACAACACATGAATTATTGTCATTTGTCAAAAAGATTTATAAAAAAATATCGTTTATGTACTAAATTATTTTTAAAATATTACATTTAGTGCGAATAAACCCAAAGAATAAAATTGCAAAAACATTGAATACATGTTATAATTGTAAAAATTAAAATTATATTTATGTTTATTATAAATATGCGTTACGATATGTCGGGTCAATATAAGTTTATGTACGGCTCGACAGATGAACATGATCAAAACCACAATCATTTTGAGAGTTTCAAAACTAATAACTGTTTTGACGACCATATCAATATACGAGAGATTAATTATGTAGAGCTAGACGATCTTAATAAAGACTCTAGTGACCATGTTCAATCAAACAAATGGCAATTATATAAGGGCATAACAATGTCAATGTTGGCCGCTCTTTGCTTCTCACTCTCGGCAGTAATAGTTAAGTATTTAAAGGTAAGCAACAAATAAATAAATAATTAAATTTACAATAAGCAAATAATCCCATATTATCGGATATACTATATGCTAATTATCACATAAACCGCTGAACATTAACTTATAAATTATATAATTAAATGTCAAATAATAATTGTGGTGAAATATATCAGAACATATCAGTGGAACAATTATCGTTGTATCGTTCTATTGGCTTATTTATTTTTAACCTGCCCTTGGTCGTAAAACATGGTGAAAATGTATTTGATTACCAAGAGTTATGGTTCCCACTATTATTGAGATGCATTTTCGGCTGTACTTCACTGTTGTTAGAGTTTTATGCCTTTCAATGCCTATCGCTCGCCGACGCCTATACTATACTACAATCCATACCAGTATTTGCATCGGTGTTGGCCTTTGTATTTCTCAAAGTAAGTAACCTTTATCATGTTGTGTCATAAAGATATTACATAATTTTGATCATCCATATACAATACTGTACAATACTCTCTAAATATTGCAACATTTTTTAGGAGCCGTGCGGTCTGTTTCAGATATTGATGATCTTAATGACAATGTTTGGTCTCTCCCTCACCACTAAATTAGTGTATATGTTGTCTATGGAAACGGAGTCTCTATTTGTTGATAACTCGACGGCCATTATTGAGGCCATGAATGTTGAGTTCGGCCACCGGACGGATCACTATTACTACGGTGTGTCGGCCGCTCTGTCCTCAGCCCTCTGCATATCATTGGTGTATATATTTCTTCGTAAACTTAAAAGTATTAGCAAATAATCGTAAATAAATAAATATTAATACCTTGTTTATATCTTTTATATGAATCATATTTAGCAATGCATTACACAATCCAATTGTTTAATTACGGCTGGTTTTCAATCGTTGAAACACTGATAGTAACTACTGCCTTAAATAGTTTTTCATTACCAAGATCATTGAACGAGTACATTCTATGCTTACTATTGTGTATATTATCATATTTGGCGCAAATATTTCAAACGATATCACTTCAGGCAGAAATGGCGGGACCGGTGGCTGTGGTGAGAGTGGCCACAGATATTATACTGTCGTTTGTTTGGCAGATATTTATATTTAACAACAATCCCGACGTCTGGACAATCAGTGGCGCTATTGTTGTAGCCTTTGCTATATTCCTTACGAGTTGTCACAAATGGATTCACAGTAAAAATAATAAAAAATAAAATAACTTTTTCGCTTAATAACTTAAAATAATCAAGATGAAAATTAATATTGTTAATTAATTAAGATCATGCTCTTATAAAATTTTTAACTTGATATTTATAAAATAATTTGTAGAATACAATACAACTATTATAAATTATATTGTAATTAATAAATTATAATTTAAAAGAGTATTAAATAACATTAAGATATACAAAAATTTACAAAAATCTAAGATTTAGATATTGATTATAAGTTACCTACATTTACATATGCACTTATGCCTTACACTTATGCCTTCATTAAATTATTTGTTTTGATATGTCATTCAAACACATGAATTATTATCAGTTGTCAAAATAATTCTATGAAAATATTGTATGAAATTATGTTTAAAAAAATTAGAGACAATGTTATATACATTGCGACTAAACCTAAAGAATCAAATTTTGTTAATTGCTATTATTTAACGTTTGTAAAAATTTAAATTATATTTATATTATAAATATACAATACGATATGTCGGGTGAATATAAGTTTATGTACGGCTCGACAGATGAACATGATCAAAACCACAAACATTTTGAGACTTTCAAAACTATTGATAAATATTTTGACGACCATATTAACATACGAGATATTAATTACTTAGATTTAGATGCTTTTAATAACAACTCTAGTGACCATGTTCAATCAAACAAATGGCAATTATATAAAGGCATAACACTGTCAATGTTGTCCGCGCTTTGCTTCTCACTCTCGGCAGTTATTGTCAAGTTTTTAAAGGTAAGCAATGAATGAATAAATGACTAAACAATCTTATATTAGCGATCATATGCTGTATGCTAACCATCACATTAAATAAATTACATTGTATAAAATAATATAATTAAGTAATAATTGTGGCAAAACTCTATCAGGACATGTCAGTGGAACAATTATCGTTGTATCGTTCTATTGGCTTATTTATTTTTAACCTGCCCTTGGTCGTAAAACATGGTGAAAATGTATTTGATTACCAAGAGTTATGGTTCCCACTATTATTGAGATGCTTTTTTGGTTGTACTTCACTGTTATTACAGTTTTATGCTTTCCAATACCTACCGCTCGCCGACGCCTATACTATACTACAATCTATACCTGTATTTGCATCGGTGTTGGCCTTTGTATTTCTCAAAGTAAATGGCCTTTATTGTATTGTGTTATTAAAATGTTACCTAGACTGTTTTAATCATCCATATACATCATTCTAATATAATTCATTACATTTACACTTTATATTGCATAACTGTAGGAGCCGTGCGGTCTGTTTCAGACATCGATGGTCTTAATGACAATGTGTGGTCTCTCCCTCACCACTAAATTGGTGTATATGTTGTCTATGGAAACGGAGTCCCTATTTGTTAATAACTCGACTGCCATTATTGAGGCCATGGATGATGAGTTTGGCCACCGGACGGATCACTATTACTATGGTGTGTCGGCCGCCTTGTCCTCAGCCCTCTGCATATCAGCGACTTATATACTTCTTCGCAAACTTAAAAGTATTATCAAAATGTTTTAAATAAATAAATAACTCGTTTATATCTTTTATATGAATCATATTTAGCAATGCATTACACAATCCAATTGTTTAATTACGGCTGGTTTTCGATCGTTGAGACACTGATATTCACTGCCGCCTTAAATAGTTTTTCACTACCAAGATCATTGGATGAGTACATTTTATGCTCACTATTGTGTATATTATCATATGTGGCCCAAATATTTCAAACGATATCACTTCAGGCAGAAATGGCCGGACCGGTGGCTGTGGTGAGAGTGGCCACAGATATTATACTGTCGTTTGTTTGGCAGATATTTATATTCAATAATAATCCCGACGTCTGGACAGTCAGTGGCGCTATTGTTGTAGCCTTTGCTATATTCCTCACGAGTTATCATAAATGGATTTACAGTAAAGATAATAAAAAATAAAATAACTTTTCAATTATGTTGCAAATTAATTTTGTTAATTAATTAAGATCATGTTCAATGTTGGATTTTTTAATTGAATTTTGTTGAATAACATGTAAATACAATACAAATATTATAATAAATTGATTTTTAAATATATTTAAGAGTATTAAATACAAGACTTTTCAAAATCTTATACTTAAATAATGTTATATTATTTGGTTATAAAACCGAAATATTTCTTGATTTTTGAATCTTTGGGAAGAGTTATAATCCATTTCCTGGCGGTTGTCATCAGTACCGACGACATGACCAAAACCGCCCCAAACACTGACCACTTGTCCGGTATTTCTTTGAATATTGTTATTTGAAAAACAAACGAATAAATTAACTAAAAATAAACAAATAAAACAGTGAATTAAATGCCAAATAAATGCATAAATAATGATTTGATTAAATACCTCAGAACTGGCTCTAACTATGGACACGAGACCCGCTTCTTCGGCCTGAAGTGCTTTTGTAAGCAATAATTGGCCATAAAATGAGAATATGGCAACCAAACACATGAGCCACGCGTTGGCACTAATGGCCGGTATGTTAGTGGGCAATTTGAAGTCATTTAAAAACAACGTGATCACAGATGTCTCGGTTATGGCCACCAGCGAGAAGTTGAACAGTATTACCGAGTGGTGAAGACTTCTAAGCTATAGGTAATTGTCCGCAAATGTTGTAAAAAATTAGTTTAAAAAATAAAAGCATGTCTTTATTAATAATTATCAATTATTGATTATTGATAATTATATTCATTACCTTTCGGACCAACACATAGACCGAAGAGCCGACAATAGTGGCCCCTATACTAAAGGCGACACCGATTAGCTGCCGGTGATTGTCCGGACGGTTACTGTCCAACAACCGTACGTCGGTGTGAGTGAAGCTTAAGTCCACTTTTGACGCAAAAGTGATGCCAATTAGTGTCACAAAGAGGGCGAAGATGTGAAACAAACCAAACGACTCTTTGAGAAATATTTTGGCAAAAATGAATACAAAGACCGGCATTGAGAGCACGATTACTGTGGCGTTCGCTATAGACATGTAGTGCAGAGCGTTGTACCGGAAGTACAGACTCGTTAACCAAACGACTCTTTGAGAAATATTTTGGCAAAAATGAATACAAAGACCGGCATTGAGAGCACGATTACTGTGGCGTTCGCTATAGACATGTAGTGCAGAGCGTTGTACCGGAAGTACAGACTCGTGGCGCCGGCCACTCCTCGCAGCACAAGCCATAGCCGCGACTTTGACGGCCCGAATGGACTGCCCTTCACCTCCATTACCACCGGTAGAGTGAAGAGTAATATTCCTGACGTAAATGTAATGTTATATTTGATTAATTAGTGCTATTTTTAATTTTATATTGAAACTGTTTGCATAACTAACAAAGAGCATTTTTATAAATAAATATGTGATTTTCAATCAATATATGACAAAAGAGTTATGGAATCATTTGAAAACATGTTTACAGATGTTTGTTTCTAATAAAAAATACTGTTCATTATTAGATTCCTAATAAACTTAATACACATAGTTATACAACTTATTGTCTATATTTATATTTATCATTATATGTCAAGATTTTATATAAGAAATTAATGATTGTATAAATGAAATGAAAGACAGAGAATTTGAAATTTCATAGGAATCTAATGATTGTTACCTAAGAATCGGAAAAATGCCATTTCGGACGGATCCACGTCTTTCACATACTTGACAATAACGGTTGTGATCGAGAAAAATAGGGCCGATATTATTGTCAGACAAATGCCTTTTATAGCTTTTGGCACTTTTCCAGAACTATCCACTATTTTGACGTTTTCATCAACAAATTTTGGCCGATTCTTGTCGTCCGGAATCGCTATATTGTCACAATTCTGTACTCCATTCTCGTATAATATGATCTCGTCGTCCGAGTCTTCTTTGGGACACAATTGTCTTGTCATTTGATTGTCTTGTAATCCGTCGTTAAAGCCGTGGGAACTGTGAACAAGATATTTAAGTCATATAAAAATGCATTTTAGTTACCATATTGTCCGGCGGGTTATGATTGAAACTTACAGGTGTTTATCGTAAGACATATTGATTTCTATACAATTATAATGTGTTTCAGAAAGATTTTTTGAAACACTTTTAGTCGTCACAGAGTTATGGAAATCAGTGGTCATCTTATAAAAGGCGCAAATTTGAAATTACTATAACTAAAGTATAGTAATAATAAATTTTACGTAACTTTTATTACTGTTAAACACATGGTATTTGTTTTAAAAATCTTTTTCTATTTAAATGTCTGGGTTATAAAACCATAGCGTTGTGTATGTTCACCTGCTCATGAGATACCTGTCAATGAAAATGACTGAACGATATGATAAACTATAGTACATTACATAACGGTATATACCGTACAGTATGTGTAGATATTTATTGAATTAAAGATACTTTATATTAAAAATACTTTAAAATGATGTTTTTAACATCACTTTACTTTACTTCACTTCACTGTGAGATCCAAACATAGCTATTATTTGATGCAATAATCAAACACCTGATAGTAAAATCATTTATCAATTAGGAAAAAAACTTTCAAATGAATCAAATTAACGATTTAAATAATGTTTGTTTTACCTCAAAGTTTTGCACTGAATTATATTTATTTGATGTTTTGATCGAAAAAACTGTTTTATCCGTCAGTTCTCACGAAACGCGTCAATAAATATCAATCAAACAATTAATAAAAAGTGTGTTTTGTTTTGCAGTTAAAATTTTTAATGAGATTTTGTGTTAAATATTATAATAAATTTGTTAAAATTCTGGTATATTTTTAATATAGATTTGTTTTTCAGATAAAATGAGATTAAATTATTGCTCCGTTTGAGTGGTTTG